GAAAATAGAGCTGCATCAAAGAAAAGGGAAGAAGGGATTGAGGAGAATCTGACAGTCAGAGGGCAGGTGAATGGACCTAACTGATGTTATCCATAAAAGTACTGTACTGGGGATGGGGGGAAGACCAAGGAAAAATGCCATGCTGAACATTTAGGCTGTGACTAGATTGGCATGATTTTCCGGAAATGCTTTTAACGGAAAAGTTTTCCGTTAAAAGCATTTTCAGAACAGAGCGTCTAGATTGGCACGGAAGCTTTTCCGCAAAAGCACTTTTTGTGGAAAAGCGTCCATGCCAATCTAGACGCACTTTTCCGCAAAAAAGCCCCGATCGCCATTTTCGCGATCGGGGCTTTTTTGCGGAAAACAAATCTGAGCTGTCTACACTGGCCCTTTTGCACAAAAGCTTTGCGCAAAAGGGACTTTTGCCTGAATGGGAGCAGCATAGTATTTCCACAAGAAGCACTGATTTCTTACAGTAGGAAGTCAGTGCTTTTGCGGAAATTCAAGCGGCCAGTGTAGACAGCTGGCAAGTTTTTCCGGAAAAGCGGCTGATTTTCTGGAAAAACTGGCCAGTCTAGACACAACCTTAGTGTATTAGTGTTCTGATCTTAATCTATGGTGGTTGCAGACTCCCCCCACCTCTCCCCACACACACGGAGAGCCCTCCAGGGCTCCCCACACCTTCCCAGGTTTGATTTTGTAGACCAGGGCTACTCAACTTTGGAAGCTCCAGGGGCCATAGTGATATTCACAGCACATGCCGAGGGCCACAGCTTAAATGTGGTTGCATATATATGCAAATATACACAAATAGCTTCTTTCACACTGATGGGCATGATTACAAAGATTAAGTAAGGCAAGACTACACAACGCACAGGTCCCATTCAAGTCAGTTCTGCTGATATTAATAACATGCAATATTTACCCAATTTCCACCCATATGACATCACTTTTAATGAGCAATGACAGTCCAGGAATTTAACTACTAAAATGGATATCAACAGGAGACCATTATATTGACTACTTTTTTGTTTTGGCTCCTACTGCGGGCCACGAGTTGAGCTCCACATAAACCCAAACCGCACCGTGGGCCGCAAACAAACAGACCGCAGGCTGCATGCGGCCCCCGGGCCATGTGTTGAGTAGCCCTGTTGCAGAGAGAAAAGGGAAGAGGAGGAAGGAGCTTATACATTTTTCATGGTAAAGAGGGGGAGCCGAGCCATCCTTGAACTGGTGGGTTGTTTCTGCTTCCTCTTCCCCTCTTGTGAGAATGATGTCAGCTACTTTTTCCCTCTCCTGCTCCCAGTCCTCCACTCAAAACTCCCCTGTGCTCTCAAGAGGAGTGGGAAGAACTGTTTTCTTCCTAACGCAGCTATATTCGCTGTTCTTCCCTGGGGAGATGGTGAAGACAGCCAATCACAGGGGTTTTCCTCCAGGAAGGGCTGAAATTTGTGTGAAGGCTGGAGCTTCTTGCGTCACAGTGAAACTGGCTCCAGCAAAGGCCAAAAATCCCATTAAACAATATTTTGACAATGCTACAACTGGCCAGCTACCAGCAAAGGCAAGCAAGCTAGTTAGAAAAGCAAGCAACAAATCAGTTTTTTGATCAGGCTCGAGTAGGCTAAGTAGCAGTTATTAATGTCTAAACTTAGCATCTGCCAATATGGCTGCTGGAAAATAGGGTTGCCAGATGGTTTCAACAAAAATACCGGACACACTTGACATTACATCACAATCTACATTAAATCCTATTTAGAAAATACCAGACATTTACATTTTCTCATTTATATTTTCTCAATTTGTTTCCCGAACAGAAAGCTCAAATACTGGACTGTCCACTTCAAAACCAGACACCTGGCAACCCTACTGGGAAACAGTTTGATTTTTATGAGGGAGGAATAATTCCAAGCTGTAGGCCAGAGTTCAGTAATCCAAAAGAAATATTTGCCAGAAAGGCTAGTGATAACTAAATTAAACAACCAAACCAGATCGGGTTTGCAGTAACTAAACTACAACTGATTGCTTACAGGTCTTGCAAAACATGTTTTGGCTTTTAGGAGAGCAATGCCCTCCCTGATATTTTGCAGTTGCAGGACTGTAAGAAACCTGTTGCTGTTAGAGCCAAGTATCTTAATGAACAGCTCTGTAGTAAGAGCAATCCTTTTGTAAGGCCTGTGGAACTGATTCCTTCTCTGTACATGATTGTTCTGCTGCTGATGTGCAATACTTGGAAGCAGGAAATGTCACTCTCTCCACATGTGGCTTCTGTTACTAGATTGCAATACAAGGGGAGAGCTATACATTTGCCTCCCTCTTGAACATTGGTTTGTACAGCCAGTAAATGCAATTTCAGTTTTGGAATACTCTAAGTTCCCAGTCATAATGGCCTTAATCAACAATCAGTAAATAGTGGTCTCATTCTTGAATCAACCTGTGTTTTTATATCCACAGAGTGAATGATAAAAAGAGGACAGGCCTAAGACTTTGCCACTGTTTTAGAGAAATTAATTACAGTTCACACTGTTAGCATATCAGTAACACCCTCTTCTTCTATATGCACACCACTGTATGTACTATTCCGCTTAGGTTTGTTTGTTTGACACCCACCAGAGTCAACCTTGGTTGAATCCAGTTGTGTTCGTGCTGGTGTGGACAAAGGATACTACAGTTTTGGAGTGACACTTTGAGTAAGATTAGCACTAACGTGGCTGGAGTTTGTGGTGACACAGATAGCCTACCAAAAGTATACAGCTCTTTACTTGGCTCATTCTGGATAGGTCTCCCTTCCTGCTTCACTCTTGGGCTCTCTGTTGGGACACTCGCCACCCTATCACTGCTGCCATCTTGCATAACTCATGATATAATTTTCTGGGATTGAATTATAACCTTCATAGTGTGGACTATAAACATTACAAGGCAGTCCAGTTAAATAGAAATAATGAAACTCTATTGTGTATATGTGGTCTTAGCAAAGTGCTTCAGAAATAAATATAGAAAGCCAGGTTTATTTTTCTACCTGTTGAAGAATCCATTAACAGATATGTAGCTGAACAAGTCATTGTACGTTATATTTTTGGGATGTATGCTCTTTTTGCTTGGCATAGCAGCTTTGGTATTGGGGCCAGCAGAAGGAGTAAAAGGCAGTTTTAGAAATGGTGGGACTCAAGGCAGAAGAGCTCAAATCAAAATTTATTGGGGCTGCATTCAGGATGGTTGAGTAGTGAATATGGGCTGTTCAGATGGCCTACAGAACAGATGTAGACAAGATGCTTCTCATATTATGCACTGCATCAACTACCACCTGAAGCTTGTTATTGTGTTAAGCATAACCTCTGAGATCCGGAACAATTTTTAAAATTAATTAGAAGATGCTTTCAGTTTTCACAATTTTTAAGTTCCAAAAATCAATGGCAATTTCAAAACTCTTCCTGATGCCTCTGAATTGAGCTATTTTGGAGGTATTCTATCCAGCATGTACACTGGATTACTAGACAGGCCAGAGCATAGAAAGCAGTGATAACAAAGCTATCACAAGGCTGTTGACAAGTGATATACCCAGGTTATAGTCCAGACTAATGAGTTGTCACCTCTGCCCTCTAACATGGGGTGCTCTTTACAAATCTTTGCGGTTGTAACCTCCAGTTTGGACTGTTCACAAATACGCTCCAGCATGGCAAGTCACTCCCAGCTATGTCTGTGTATGCTCCACAGTCAGCCATACTTTGATTCGTCATCTTTGGCTATACTGCAGTGTGACTTCCACATACCCGCAGTCCTAGACTTTTTCTCCCAGAAATGCCTAGTACTGTCTAGCCCACTCCTGGACAATATAGTCAATTATTCCTTTAATAGAAATAATATACACAAAACTTGCCACCCCAAATGGAGTTTCCTCAGACATTTCAATTCAAATAGACTGGATTAGATAAAACAAGTGAATTAACTACAAAGAGATTTTAAGTGAGTACAGGCAATGAGGCATAAAATCAGAAATGGTTGCAAGAAAAATAAAGATAAAATGCAAGTGGTACCTAATTTGATTTCTCACCACATTTTTCAGCAGTCTTACTGACCTAACTTCTTCAGTTGACTTGCTGCTGCCTTTGTCCCTTCTGGTGTAGTCAATCAATTGGGCAGACCAAGGAGGTAGCTCTGTTGCCCTTTCTGGAACATTTCTAGATGGGAGTAAGGTAATAGGCAATCTGCATAGTACAGGGAAGGGGTCCAGGACTTGAATTGCCCATTCTCTACTTTCTAAGCTAATGCCCTATCCCCATGGCCATGCCAGGGAACTCTATGCTGTTCTTTGCCACAATATAGTTGTGTTTGCTCCTGCACCTCTTCCTGCCAAAAGTCACAGGTAATGGTCCATCAGCCTTGTTCACATGTAGCTGAGGCATAGCTTGTCTTTCATCTCTGAGGAACTGGTATGGCCATTCCGAACACTTCTCTGGAAAACATACTTTTAGGGGAGACCTTGCAGTGGCACTGCTGTAGTGAGGCATCTCTGCTGTTACGAGATTTTCTGTCTAGCCGCCCTATACCAATGGGAGACAGCTCTCCTATTGACATAGGTAAATCACCCCCCAACTAGTGATGGTAGCTATGTTGTCAGGAGCGTATCTCTTGCCAAAACAGCGCTGCCCACACTAGCTTTTCTGTCAGTAATTTATGGTGCTAAGAAAGGTGTGTTTTTTTTCATACCCACGAGCAAGAGGGTTATACCGACAAAAGTGCTATTCTGGACACCACTTTAGTCATAATCTCAGTTTATGTTTTTAATTTCACAAACAACACTGCTTTTTGTTATGATGTTATTTATCAGCAAATTAAGTTTTTAAATGATGTCTCACAAAGGCATACTTTGTTCATTAACAATAGTGTGTGGGGGTAGGGAGATGGAGACCATCTGAAATGTACTGCAGAGCATGAGTCTAGGCACACTATTTCACAGATGAACTCAATCACCAATTTGACTGATGTCTCTCTTGCATTTCAAGGTGAGGAGCGATTCTTGCTTGAGACTTGCAAAAGTTAGGAAGTGCTGCCCTGGAACTCTTGGAAATGGACAGCTCTGGGCTTTATGTCCAAAAGCTTATCCCAATGGAAGGCAAATTGAAAGAGGTAAGCATTTCGGGGCGTTTGGATGCAAAGGTGCAGAAAAATCAGCTCTATATGCTTGAAGTTGCAATTGTCTTTTCTTTGCAACCCTGGCAATACTTGAGGTCAGATGTTATAGCTGAGGTGACATGGCTGCAATGCTATTTGGAGCTCTGTGTTTTGCCAAAAAGGGTGCAATTAAAAGAAGCGAAATTCTGTCATTGCCTTCTCAGCTCAATGATGTAACTATATCCTGGAAAGCAAATAGTGGTAGTAATACATTTCTAGAGTGCCTTTAATCTCAAAGCACTTTACAGACTGGGTTTCCCCATTAAGGCTACGTATAGACTGCAAGATACTTTTGAAAAAGCCTCTTTCGAAAAAAAAGGGTGTCTAGACTACAACCAGTATTTTTGAAAAAGCAAGCTGCTTTTTCAAAAGAGAGCACCCAGGCAGTCTAGATGCTCTCTTTCGAAAAAACACAGTTTGCATTACATAGCGCCTTTTTTCAAAAGAGCACTTTCGAAAAAAGGCATTCTTTCTTGTAAAACGAAGTTTTCCACGTTCAAAAAAACTGCCATGTTCTTTCAATTTACTGTCAACAGAATGCGGCAGCAGTCTAGATGCAGGGGAAGTTTTTTCGAAAAAAGGCAACTATTTTTGAAAAATCCCTGTAGTCTAAACACACCCATAACTTGTGGGTGTATGAACTTTGCCTCATCTATGGTAAAACAAAAAAAGCAGTCATGTAGCACTTTAAAGACTAACAAGATATTTTATTAGGTGATGAGCTTTTGTGGGGCAGACCCACTTCTTCAGTCTGCCCCACAGAAGCTCATCACCTAATAAACTATCTCTTTAGTCTTTAAAGTGCTTCATGACTGCTTTTTTTGTTTTACCAAGATCAGACTAATACAGCTACCTGTCTGTTACTTTTCATCTGTGGTGGTGAGTTCTGGGATAAGTTGGATTTATATTGCACTTTTGACTGTATTCCTTGCATTCTGCCCACTGATCAATCTCCCCTTGGATTTCTTCTGACATCTCAAATTTCCAGAGCAGTTTCTAACATCTGGCTTTATTTAATAAGTATATAAATAAAAATTAACCTGCCAGTGACTGACTTCTCCTCCTCCCTCTCTCCACGAAAAAGTGGAATTTTCTTCCCAAAATGACACTCAGTTGAGGTGGAGGATAGCTAATAGTACCAGTGATGAGTAGCCCATGTCCGGGGTGGGGAGGGAAATGCGTATAGTGTATAGCATTAACCTATACATTGTGGTTATTGGTTAATTGACTACACTATTACATCCCTAGTTAGCATTTGGCTTGCCTGACCAGCCTGATGGAATGGAGGAACATGGATGCTGGTTTTTGTTGCTGTAATACTGTTTTATGCCTGAGAAATGCTTTGAAGATTCCCAAGGTGAAGTGAGAAGACTGAACCATGTGTCTTCACCAGTTTATAGGTTGCTTGGGGGCTGTTTAGTCTGCTCACATGCATGCCTTCTCCCCCTCATTTTCTGTCATAAAAAAGAGAGAGTGACTGGGTTAATGGAGCATGTCAGAGGATTGAGGGCAAGGTTTTGGCGGTGAGTTACTGACTCGAACGCCTGGGGAAGTGGTATGTAACAGCTCAGACTTCTCATACAGAATAAGCCTCTGGCTCAAGTTGTGGTTTTTATGTTTATATATTTGTATATGTATGTGTGTGTATATATACATATATATATATATATACACACAGTATATATATTTTTTGTAATTGTAATAACTTAGATGGATTGATGTCTGCAGCAGCGGGTCAAGGTGCAGGAATCAACAGCGCTAAATATAGGGAATCTGATAGGAACACAGAAACCAAGAAAGAGACCATAATAGTGAAAAAGAGGAGTATTCTTATTCCAGTGTGTGAGCAGAGGCAGAAGGAGTACCAAGCAAACAATTAGCCATACATTATCAAGATACGGATTGTTAGGGCAGAAGCATATGGTCCGGAATTATTCAACAGTATTGATGGAGCTCAGGGGAAAAACTCTCCAGAGGCTGTGATAGAAGAGAGACTCAAAGGTAAGGGGCTGGGATTGGGGAGAGGATGAGTACATGGAATCCAGCAGTACCTAGCTGTTTAAATGGGATTAAAATCGAACTCATGGTGATTTTGACCTACATGTTCAGAGTTAAACAGATCACCAGATGTAGGCAGGAATTTAACTTGGGACATATTGTTGGGACCTGAGGCAGAGAGCTTCACCTTCTTTTGTTGTACTGAGCACAGCTAGTCTATAATTGAATCATTGATTACAGGGGCTTGTGGGTATTAGTGGGGATCAGTCCTTGCCAGCTCCTCTTTCTTCACAGCCATATTGGTCCTTGAAGAAGAGAGTGGAGCCATATATGAGAATTCCTTTGATCAGCCATTAAATTATAATGGACAAGATGATTTTCTGGGTAGGAAAGCTCCCACCTTCAGGCCTGTGGTTATTCTCTAACTTGTGGGAATGTGTTGGAAAATTCCCAGCAGTGTGCTTTGCCAAAGATTAAGATAGTCAGTTGAGGGAAGTGGTGAAAGCCCCTTTGCTGCAGTCACTTAAGCCTAGAGTAAGCTGTTGTAAGGAATAACCCTGCATCTGCTGAGATGAGAGCCAGGATGCAGAGAGTATGAGTTACCTAACAATTTTTAATCACTAATTTTTGCAGCTGTGTAAATTCTGAGTACCCTTTCCTCTCTATAGAGTTCTGCCCCCAAGCCTTCTTTGTCTGAAACTTCATTTATCCAATTAGAAAGAAGCTAAAACTCCCATCTGCCGGCTTCACTTTCATTCTCTTCTCCAGGCTGGATGCAAAGAAGAAAGTATACTAAAGATAACATCTTTCTGGGATCCATGGGCCCTTTGAGAGATGATCAGAGGGAGGCCAGATGATCTACTGAATGCACACAAGAACCTTTCTCTTCCACAAAGTCAGCATCAGAGCACTCCCCACGCTCCAGCCCCATCCAGGTTACCCACTCATTACCGGGCCTTCCGCAGCTGTGAGTGGGAGGTAGTGGAGCGATCACTCAGTAGCCTGCAGGCCAGTGGCTTCTACTGGGGTCCCTTATCTGTGAGTGAAGCACACACCAAACTGCAGCAGGAGCCGGTGGGGACCTATCTGGTGCGGGACAGCTCTCAAGGGAACTGCCTCTTCAGTGTGAGTGTTCGGATGCCAGGAGGCCCAGTCAGCTTCCGGATCTCCTTCCGGGAGGGATACTTCTGGTTGAAGGACTGGTTCTCGGACTGTGTAGTTAGGCTGCTGGAAATGGTGGTGGCAGGAACCCAGACCAACCCTCTCCACTGTGATGAAATGGGAGGAATCCCCCTGGTGCTCTCTGTACCCCTCTGCAGGAACCGCAGAGTTGTGCCCAAGTTGCAGGAACTTTGCCAACAAAGCCTGGAAGCTTACAGTGGGACAAGGGAGGAGAGTCAAAGATTCAGAGACTGGGAGAGGCACATGGGAAGGGCAGTTACTTTGCAGTTTGGAGAGGAACAAGGCAGAATATCACCCAGAATTCACCATCTACATAGAGAGGGAGACAGCTGCGTACATGTGGCAGGCAAAACTGAGCAAGTGTCTGTGACACGCTAACTGAATATGCCACTGCCATTGGATTGTACTTTTCCTGGGGGGAGGAGAGGGATAGCTTGAATCTGCTGACTACAGAAGCTGCCCTCCTGAGGTAGCAATGTGTAGCTTTTCCCTGTGGCAGAGTAAAACTGTCCCAATCCAGCACTTTTTATTCCAGTTACTGTAATGCATAAGCTTCAGAAACAAGGGCAATGCTTGTCCTCCTAGCACATCCCTCTTCCCCTGTATTCCAAAGTGCCTGAGCAATTTCTTTCTGGAAAATCTCTCCTTGCAGAAAGGTCCAGCTGAATTTCAAAGACTTTGATGAGCACTGATTTAATGCCAATCAGGAACTGTACACTGATCTCTGATACCAAAGAAACTTTACTCTGTGTGCGTGCACGTGCGTGTATGTGTGTGTGTGGAGAGAGAAAGATTTCACAACATGCCACTTCAGAAATACAAGAAAGGACTGTCTAATATTTGCACTGGAGGAAACTGTTGCAGATGTGTATTGTACACAGTTCCTTCAGCTTCTGCATCGCTTGTATTGGAAGCTGGGCTTCATAGCTTCATTTTTTATGGGCACCTTGACTATACTGTTGTGGGATAATATATTTCAGCCAACCAAGCGTTGGTTTGGGGAGTCCATTATGCAATTGATGGTATCAACAGATGTGTCTGATGTGCCATCATGTACAGTCATCTGGCAGTATGCTACCGCCCCCTGCAGATCATCATTAAAGGAGCACTCTACAAAAGCTAGGTTTTTGTCTAACAGGGATGGAGACATGCTTAATAAAACTTACTATTAATAAAAGTGTTTTCATAATGTCTGTAAAAGGAGCTTTCAAAAATGTAATAATTCAGCAGTGCTGGAAAACCAAACTAGCATTGGGCCAGTACATGAGAATAAAAGATTCACTGACCATGCTGAGTGACGTGAAAAATGAAAAAAGGATTCATTAAAAACAGTCAGTTTAATTTCTGCATTTTTTATGTATTAATCTAAAATACAGGTATCACAAGGAGGACACTGTTTCAATATATATGAGTCCTAGATTTCAAATATTATGTTTGTATTGCATTGAATACTATGGTAGGTGCCTCAAAGAAAGGCTTGTTTATACATGAGCCTGATGCAACGAATACACACTATAGATGTGTCATAGCTGGTGAGGGTGAGATCAGACATGGGGATTAGACGGAATTATGAAAATAAGGTCTATAAAGATTGGGTTAATCTGAGTGACATCAGCATTTAAACTCTGCCCCTAAAAATGTACCTATGAGAACAGATGCTTCTGGCAGAGAAGATATTGTGTGTGTGTTGATTTCAGCATGTGGATTTCTGTGTTACCTCAAAGCAAATGTTTGAAAATTTGGTCCATCAGAACAGTTTCCTCTAAAAAGAGAAAACAGCTTAAATTGCCTCATTACCATAGGTACGAAGTTAAATAACAAAGTCCGTGCAAATAAGTAGGCTCTATTGTACCTTTTAAGTCACACATCTTTTTAATGTCTCAGGCAGCAGAGGCAAGGTGTTCCCCTGATTAACAGCTTGCAATTTTTTTTCTGGCACTAGTTTCTAAATGGTCAGAGTCCTGGGCTGCTGCACACTTCAAAGTGAAAAGCGGAAATAGGTCCTGCCCCAGGCTCTGCCAGGATTTTTGAAAAGAAACTTATTCAGTGAAATTGGCATGACAAGGTCCTCAACAGCACAATCAAAATATTTTGTCCCTCTTGTGCAGGACTGACTGCAAAGTAGATGGAGAGGCAGATGGGCCAACAGGAGGCAGCCAGTGACAGCAATATTTTATGCTGTTTTGAATTTCATCAGTGTTCCTAGTTTATAGGGCCAAGCACTCTTTATTTCTGTGCATTGCTGTGGAACCACTGTCCTTGTGCTCCTTCCTCAAGCATGAATGCCACCTGTCTGCCCTGTGGAGTGCTCTGCATTCCCTTACTCTCCCCATTTCTGGAAGACAGGTGGGACGTAGTCCTCCCTATGTGGCATTTCACTCCTTTCCTATGCTCTGCTACAAATGCAACACCTGAAATATGCCAGCTTCCCTCCTCTATTTACTCCACATGCAAGGGAAAGGAACTGACTTATTTCATTAAAGTTTTCAGCTATGCTCAGGAATGGCTGTTTTACTGTGGATATATAACACTTTTTGGGTATGTCCACACTTGCATCCTCCTTTGAGAGAGGGATGCAAATGCAGACATTCAAAATTGTAAATGAAGCCAGGATTTAAATATCCCAGGCTTCATTTGCATAATCATGTTATGGTGCTATTTCGAAATAGCGCTATTTTGAAATAAAAACGCTGTGTAGATGCGGTTATTTCAAAAGAAAACCTTTCTTCCAAAATAGCTGTTAAACCTCATTTTACAAATAATAAGAGTTATTTTGGAAGAAGAGTTTTCTTTCGAAATAACCACATCTACACAGCGTTTTTATTTCAAAATAGCGCTATTTCGAAATAGCACCATAACATGATTATGCAAATGAAGCCTGGGATATTTAAATCCTGGCTTCATTTACAATTTCAAATGTCTACATTTGCATCCCTCTCTCAAAAGGGAGTGCAAGTGTAGACACACCCTAAGGGAAGAGCCATCTCATTCCATTGCTTTGTCCCAGCTGTGAACTAGGGATGTGAAAGGTTAACTGGTTAATGGGTAAGCATCACCCTTAAAGGGTGATGCTTACCATTCCGGTTAACTGGTGCAGGTTGGAGCAGCTCCCGTCCGCGGCTGCTCAGGCATGCAGCAGGCAGGGGATGTACCTGTAGCAGGAGTGCCACTCCAGCCTTCCCACCATCCCTTTTCTCGGTTAACCAATTAAACAGGATTTTACATTCTTACTGTGAACTGTTATCTAATTATTTGTCGTAAAAATGAGCACCTTGGGTTGAACAGCTAGCAGGTCTTGAATCATTCCTTTGTTACTGGTCAGGATTCCTCTATTTGAAAATTACATTAAGGGTAAATAAAATACTCTGGCTCCTACTAAAGGGATCTTTTAGTTCACTTTAATGTGTGTGCTTTATACCTAAACCACATAGCCCATGCTTAAGTCTTTCTGTTATAAATAGTTTAATTCATGTGCAGCCAATAGGAAATTGTTTTGAGCTCTGAGTATGACAACTAATGTAGAAGTGCTAAGTATTGTTTTATTATTAATGTCTAAAACAAAGATGTTATGCATGTCTGTCCCAGTTAATCGAAAGACAAACTTCTCTCAGAGTATAGGGTGGGAGAAAGATACCAACTTTGGGAGGTCTATGGAGTGGGAAAGTGTGGTAGCAATTTGCATGTAAAATATTTTGGAGATGATGTTTCCTTCCTGCTCCCCACCCCCAGGAATTATGGAAAAACCATTTTAAAATCTATGGAAAATATGGATTAAGTAAAAACATACGTGTTTGCCAATGGAAGTGTTTAAATGTATCTCTCTCTCTGTAAAATATGTTATGTTAAGAAGGATTTTGCTGCTGTCACTTATTGGGAGATATTTCTGACGCCTTGAATGTAGATTTGTCCATCCCTACTCCAAGAATGAGAGAACCCCTCCTGACGTGAACGCTAGTGCCTCTCTGGATGTCCGCAGGTCTGTATATTTTTATAGTACTCTCTTTATCTACAGCTCTCAAAACCCTATTCAGGGAATAGGAATACAAGGTAGGTTCAGGTCTGACTGGCACACCTCATTTTGCTTAGGAAATGATATAAACGCACACATCAATTTTTAAAGCATTCTTGCTGCTTGAAAAAGTTAAAAGTTGATTGGACTCCTAAGAGGTTCTGAATATCAAGTCTTAAAGTGCTGGAGTTGTAGTCCCAACAGGTCACAAGCACAGCATAGGAAACTGGAAATTCCTAACAGATGGTATTAGTAACCTGACTCTCACTAGCTGTTTTAATAATGCTTGTGAATCTTAACCAGTCAGGTTGAAATTTTCCCACAGTCCTTGGCTGAATTTTTTAGTTGCTTCTCAGTGTACACATGTGCAGCAGGGGCCTCCCAGCCAATGGATTTTGTATTATCACTACCTCTGATAAAAGTGTCTGTATTCATTATGAATCTGCCTCAACATAGAAACACAGAGTGCACACAAATGCATCTCATATATTGCATAGCATTAGAGCATTACGAATGTTTGGATTCCTGAATGTCCCCCTACAGTATCAGAATTTCAAATATATTTTTTCCTATACAGTACTTGCAATAATGTCTCAGATTTGACCTCTGACCATTTTACTGAAAACTGTATGTTTGCATCAGAAGTGCCTCATAACTTGCTAGAACTGATAAATTACAAGGATAAACTCAGGGACTAGTCTATATGATTTCTTCAGTTTTTTTATTTTACACCAAATGTACCAATTCTTGGGTGTATAACCCCATTAGTATTGTTCATGTGTATATGTGGACTGATGGAATCTTCTGCTTTTGTCATGTAAGTGCCTAACAGGAAGAGGAGACAGAGATTAGGGAGGGTGTGTAAAAGATAGAATAGATCTCATAAAGAAAGACAAAAACAGGCAGTGAGACAGAGCCATGCTAACTCCTGATTCCTTTCCTGAGAATTGTCTGAGCTTTTGGGTCAGTGCACCTAATAGCACGATTGTGAGAAAAATTCTCATTTTGATTTAAGCTAAATTGTTTAGTTCCAAAACTTGACTTCCCTTGAAATCAGTTCAGAAGGGAAGGGCCTGGATGGCACAACAGAATTGCACTCTGAGCCCTTTACCTCTGTCACTGATTTAATTCCACCACTATGTCTGTAGTAACCAAAAGTTATCATCTGCTTTTCTGAACTGAGATGGGGGGGAGGGGGGGCAGGGAGTCAGGCTAGTGCCTAGTAGACAAGCACAGATATAGGCTGGGGGAAAAGCATATTGCTTGGGACAAACAGAGTAAAGCTTCCTAGCTGTTAGACCAGGACAATAAGGAAGGCTAGTGGCAGGCTGAATACATTACAAAATAACAGCTTTGACCCTTGCCAGTCAGAGGGGACAAGACTGGGACTAATAAATGTCCAGCCATGATAAAGCTAGAGGGCTTAACCAAAGTGTGGAGAAAAAGGAGAATGCTTTGCCAGTGGCTTACTTGCAAAATGCACTAATGCATCAAATCTGTAATAAAGGACAAGCACCTGCATGTTTTAACAAAGCTTTTAACAGCCTGGAAACTGGACAACTGCATTTTTTAATCAGACAGCCAGCTTTTGAAATCTTACCTGCCTGTGGCCAAGTGAACAGAATTTTTTCCTGGCTTATGTACACATCAGGAAATTTATGGCAATTAATGACACCACTTTTGACAGTCCAGTGCAGAGGCCAAGGAATGACCTCAGCTTCCCTAGAGGTGGCTCTTTACTGAGGCATGGTGATACAGCGGTACAGTGTGCAGGGGAGGAGAGGACTAGGACTGCTACTGGTTGAACTATACCTGGTTGGGCATAGAGAAGACTCCTGCACCAATTCACTTAAAAGATAAAACCATTCTTTCTGTCTCTTGTATGGATTGAATCTAAAAGGAAACTTTCCTATGATGTAAGCTAATGAATGTGATGCTATGAACCCTGGGCTGAAAACAGTTCAGTTTGTATAAACTATATTTTGTATATTTTTAAAAATAATAAAAATCTTTCATAAACTTCTGTGCTTGCATTTTTTTCTAAAAATTCATGAGAATAAATTAGAATTGAACCCACCTCATTATGGCTCTGATGCAGTAAGGTATAGAAGCATGCAAGAAAGTTGATTCAAGTCAATGAAGCTTTGGACTTCAATAAAACTCATGTATTTTAAATATTTTGCTGAATTAGGACTCATAGAAGGAACAAGCCAATCTGACAATCTCAGATGAGGAACACATCTAAAATCCTGTTTCATCCAGAAGGATCCTAAAGAGCCTGATGCATTCTTTCTCATTAAACATAGTGTAAACCCACACACATCACATCCCTCATCTCTGTTTCTTTGATTCCTGTTTCATACATCTGAAATTATTAGTCCTGAATTCTTCTACTAATGCTTATCTACCAGTTGGGGATAGAGCTAAAATGTTCATTTTCTGTTTTTCCTTTCTATGCAGCTATGCTGGTTACTAATTTACAATTAAGGCAGCATATGAACCTGTCTGCACAAGTAAATCTGTTTAAAGTTCCTTCAGCTGCACATTCTCAAGAAAACTTCCCATCAAATTTGATGGTGCACAAAATTATTTTAAAATTAATGAAACAGTTAGCTTTTTACTACTGTACAGGCCAGCTGATGGGGGCGGGAGGGCAGAAGAGGCAGGCAGCACCCTGAGCCCCCAGCCTGTTAAATTGCTGCTAGAGTATGGTGCCATGTGCTCCATGCAGCACTGGGGATGGGTGTTGGAGTGCTGGCTGCCCTACCCCTTCCAGGAGCACAGAACCAGCCCCTCCTCCCCCCCACACACACTTTGCCTAGGGGCCTACAGAGGCTGTCAGGTCCCCTGCTTCTATAGGTATCTGTCTTGACAGTAGACTGTGAACCATAATATTATACAACAGCTTAATGTTAGGGATATGTCCCATCTCTGCTTCTTAGCTCTGTACATAAACCCAGTCATACTGTAAGCATCCTGATTCTCCAATTCCCAACCAAAACTAAATACTACAGGGTGCAAAGTCTGGGCTTGGATTGTATCCCTAGATCTGTGAGATTGGAGGGGGGGGAGCAAGCATCCCTTTTACCCCCTCACCTTTGTGAGAAACTGTAGGCTCTAGGATCATGTATGAGGAAGGGATGGACTGGAGACAGGAATAAGGAAGCACAGGTGTTTTCCCACCACAACTGACCCTGCAGGGTATATGTAAAAAATTAATGCAACTTCTAACTTACACTTTGTTATAAAAATAAACCACACAGACAGATCATTTCTATATTATCCATATAGGGCCAATGTGAGGAAGATCCCAAGGAGAAGTGCTATAGATGTACTAAGCATAATTGTAGTACATTATCATTACTGTTTATTCTTGTTTGTAACATTTTTCCAATAGCATGAAAAACTTCCCACCAGAGTCTCCTAATGTATTTTCTGGGTATTCTGTCATCCACACTTCCTAGACTGTATGAGCTGGTCCTTGTAAATGGTGTTAATAAATATTATCCATGAGTGCATCATATTTCACACACTATCCTCTTAATCTCTCCTTGGCTTCACAACAATAGGCCTTTCCCCCCTGAAATTTA